GGCCCACGGCGGGCGGGCAGTGATCACTCCCCCCCCCCGTCATTCTTTACGGGCAATTGGCTAGTTATTACAGTAATTCCTCACAGCCAAGGTCAGTAGTCACTCCCTGTTACTGCTACATGCTCCACAAACAGAACAAAAGGATGGTCCCTCTCCGTGGAGAGTTTGCAGTCTAAGAGAAAAGACAAACAGAAGAGCCCAGGGGTCAGTGTTGGTTACCAGTGGAGTCAACACACCAGCACCTTCCCTGTTGCCATGGTTTTCGTAGGCTTCATGGCCTAGGAAAGTTTTGAGGGATGGTAGAGTGACAGCTTTGCAGGTGTTTCCAGGGAACTCCTTGTAGGCATCAGAGTGTAAGGGACCAGGGCATAGGCAGTCTGGCCTAATGGTTAGGTCACCAAGGGAAAGCAGGTTCTGGGGCTAGGTCAGAGGGCGGGAGCCACATACCACAGCCAGGGGGAGATCCAGAAGCAGAGTCCATGACACAGTCTAGTGTCAGAATCGGGGGGTCAAATGAGTACCAATCTGGGGGGCTGTAACAGGACCTGTGCCCTAGGGGCAACCATCACAACCCCTGATGGCAACTCAGCTCCTGCTGCACTGTATCTCTAATGTACCCTCCCTTTGCTCTTGTCTGCCATACCTTGATTTTATTAACAAACTTGGAAAGAGAGGCTGCCTAAGGGTCTTAGGGCAATCGTAACCTGTCCTCTGTACTTGCGGATCCTTCTCAGATCTCACTGTTCTCAATCAATCAGTCTTTCCTCCTAGGTGGGCTCTCTTGGCCTGTGTATGCTCCCAAGGGCACCCATTGCCTTATGGGCTAATTGTAGTCTCCAACCTCGCTTGTAGTCATACCCATGTCTTGCAGGTGTACCAATCAAATAGTACAGTGGGCCTAGGCCCCAGTCTCTCATCCAGATTTATCCTCCTTTTCAGTCTCTAGTCAAACTCCACCTCTCCTGGGGCCAGGCTTTCTCTAGCCCAGCTCTGCCCTTCTTTGGGTGCTGGGCTCTCTCTAGCTCCTTTTCTGCCCCCCTCTGAGTGTTGGGTTCTTGTTAGCCCCTTCTTTGCCCGTCCTGGGCTGTGGGTCCCTGACCCTCATCACTACCCTTTGTGGATGGCTATACTACCGCTTGCCCTGCCCCCTTCTGGTCACTCCCTGAGCTGTTTGCAGGTTTCTCTAACAAGCTTTGCTTACTGGTCTTCCAGGTAGCCTGTGGACCTAGCAGTTGTAGCCTTGCCTTGTCTTGTCTGCCACACAAGACTGCCTTATACTACCGCCAGGAATCTGCTAGCACTGCATTAGGCTTCTTGCTCCTCACGCTGGTTACTTGTGGTATTGCTGTTCAACTAGCTTAGCAATAGGCACTTCTCATTTATGAGCTCTGGCTGCCTATCCCTTTACAGCTAGCCGCCTTTTTGTCTTTCTGGGCTCCGTTTGCCCGTACTTTTCCTCTGTAAGTAACAGGAGCCATAAGCTACCTGTTACAGGGGCAGTCCATGGGGCAAAATCCAAAACCAGAGCCAAACCAGGAGTCAAGAAACAGACCTACGGAAAAATCCAGAGCCAAAGTCCAGAAATAAGATGAGAACCAGAATCAGGATGCAGGAGAACCAGAGTGCAGGAACCAGGAGGCTTGCCACAGCAAAACTGTTGACTGTCCTGCAGACCCAGGTCCCTAGCTAGTGCCAGATGGATAAGTGGTGCTCCCAGCAGCCAATCAGGATGCTTACTGCTCCTAAACTGAGGCAAATTAGCTGGGTCTTGCTGCAGTACTTGGTCCAGGCTGCCTGTCTGTGCACTGTCCCTGGCAGCACTGGGCCCAGGCTGGTCTGCCTGCTCAGCATCCCTGATGCAGAGGCAGCATGGAAGAAAGTAAGCAGTTGTTTGCAAGCTTTAAAAGTGGGCTTTGGAGTCTGGTTTCACTGGGAGTCCACATCCCTGATAGCAAATAAGAACTGAGAGCAGGGATGCGACAGGCCAGAAAGCAACTTGAAAGAAGAGACAAGCAGGTTTTGTGTGGCATGATAGAGAAGTTGGAACCAACAAAGGGGTGAGCAATCAGTGCAGTGAGTCAGGAACTGACATCTGCAGCAGCAGCTGCATGGACAAGAAAGGGATATCTGCACTTGTCCAGGCTGGAGTGGGAAGAGGTTGCAGTCAGTAAGGGGTGAGGCAGTGAGAGCTTGGCTGGAAGTTGTAGTATGGCAATGTTATGCAGGAAGTCAGGTGCTGATGTAGCTGTGTGAGGAGATACCCAACATCCGGCTGTTGTGTGCAGATGTTTTCCTCACTGCCTTGCCATTGTGTTGCAGCTGCAGACACTGACCCAAGTGTTCTCCTCTCTTTGTGTCCCACAGGAGCCATGTTCAACAACCAGGAATCTCCATAAAAGCCAGTACCGGGCCACCCTGCAGGGGCTGCACTGGATTCTGCAGACCATTGCAGTCAACTACAGCTTACTGTCCACCCGGGTACAAGCAGACTTCCCTGAGCAGCGGAGCCCCCACAAACAGGAGGCTCCAAGGAAGACAGAACGGGCCCACAGTCAAGCCCAGGAAGAGAGGTTTGCTCTACAAAGCATTAATATTTTGAGCCATTGCCCAGACTATCATCCAACAGGAGCAGCATTTTCATTCCAGATCAGGGCAGGGAGACAGTAATGCCCAGGAAAGCCCCAAGGGCAAGGAGTATTGTTCTCATTCTGGTGTAAGGTAGGCGTAACTTGGTTGAAGCAGAAAGTTGTTTACTGCTCCTAAACTGAGGCAGATTAGGGTCAAACCTGTTTGACCCTAATCTGTTTCCACCAGGGTCAAACCTGTTTACAGCTAGGAGGGAACTGAGGCCAGAGGAGACACTAAATCACAGCTGAAAAGAGTTGTGCCAGGCCTGTGCTGCTCCCTCCAAGCTAGAGGCAGAGTGAGTCTGTGCCACATGCAGTAACAGTGGCCATTTCAAAGGACTTCAGAGTTAGCTGCAAGCTTCCCTCTCATGGCAGGTTCTCTGGTTTCAGGAGCCCTGAAACCCAGTGTGTGACCTGCCCAAGAGAGAGCAGCTGTTCTCAAAAATGGGAGGATGGGAAAGGCAGCCATTTTAGCTGGCATGGTGAACACTGGTGTGGCAGGGGAGCATGTGAGCACAGGGAACTGCTTTGCTATTTGGGTGTCGGGTAGGTTTCAGAACCAACAAAGACCCATGTCAGAGCCCAGACCAAAGCCAAAGACCCCCTGAATTAATCTTTCAGTGTGTTTGGAGAGAAGGGGAGGGGATGGCTGCCATTCAATGAATGGGGAGAACCTACAGAGTGGTAGCCTCAGCACTACATGAGCTCTCTGCTGCCACAGATAGCATAGCCTGGGTTAGGCTTCCCTGGTTGGCTGGCCTAGGGGGATGCTACAGAATGAGGAGAGCCTTGCACACTATCTGGGTGTCTAAGCCAGTAATTCTTAACAAGACTGCCATGGCACCCTAGGTGCCTTGAGATCTTTTCAAGGATGCTGTGGGGTGCCACTCTTTGTTAGCACTGTTAGATGCATAAGCTTGATTTACAGAATAAACCCAGAGATTTAAAATAGGAATCCATAGTGTCACAAACATTCTGACCTGCTCTGCGGGCTTTCACAGGTCTTTGTAACAGAAGAATTGCTCTAATATTTTCTCTAGTTAAAAAAATATTAAAACCAACAGCTGGAATTTACTGAGGGATACCTTGAGTCTAATGAACAGTGCCTTTAGTCTGACTAGATGTGCCTTGAGTCTAATGAGATTGAGAACCACTGCTCTAAGCCTTCCCCTCCTCAGCTGGTCCAAATGCTGTTCTCTCCATAGGGAGCAGGCCCTGGAGACAGAATATCACCTGTGGCCTGTTTCAGAAACATCCCCACTTGTTCTCAGAATGCACATATTTAGCAGTATCTTCTTCCTTGCCACAGAGGAGCATCCAAAAGTCCAGGGTTGCGGGGATACTGCTGCTAAGAGCTCTGGTGGGAGAACTCTCCCAGAGCTAGGTTTTGTTTTGAATTTTTTGTCATTTCTTGTTCTGCCTCATTGCCTTGTAGGG